TAGAGCCCAAAGGTGTGACAGTCCAGAAAACATCAGAGATAGATGACTTTGAGAAGCAGGAGGCTGGGGAGAGCCAAGATTTGGGGGGTTTGTCTTCACAATCAGACCCACATGCTTGTGACAGAAGAAAAGGCAATTCTGAGACAGCAGGCAGAGTGGGGGCCAGGGTGGCAGAAGTGTGTCCATGGGAAGTGGAAGAGACTCCCTCTGCCAAGAAAGCAGAGATCTGCCCTTGGGAGGTGGGTAAAAAAGCAGCAGGGGAAGGGGAACTAGAGCAGGGGATGAGCAGAGAACCACAAGGGCAAGGAGAGGTGTTCCTTGCAAAGGCAGAATCTGGAGGGACTGAAGGACACTTTTCAAAAACAGCAGCAAAACCTGGCAAAGAACAGCTGACAGTCTGCCCTGAGAAAGGCACAGGATCAGGAGAGTTCTTCCTACAGCAAGATGCTCTAGACACCAACCAACCCACAGTCAGTCCCCACGGAGCAAGTAGCATGGGGAGTAGGATAGCAGAACTATGTCATTGGGAAGTAACAGATCCGGAAGGAAACAAAATTAGGGGCATCATGGCAGACATCTGTCCTTGGGAGGAAACTGGAGCCCTGTTGGAGGAATCTGGCCTCCTGGCTTTAACAGCAACTCAGACAGAAAATTTCCCCACAGCTCCTGAAAAATCATCATGCCTTTTAGTTCAGAGACCTCTGGAAAGGTTCCTTTCAGAGAGCAAGAGTTCCCACCCCAAGGTGAGCAAGCCAGTCAGTACTCTTACTCTGGGAGGTATCAGAGAACCACAGGGACCTTCAGGGCTTGGGCCAAAGACCTGCTTAGGCACAGAATTAAGTCTCCAAGAAGGTGAGGCTCAAAGGTCTTCCTCCTTAATGGAAGACCAAGGACAAGTGGCTTCTGAAGCTCAAGATGAAGAACTCACCCCTCTTGTCTATCCTTGGGACTTGGAATAAGCTTTGTCAAGTGAGGTCAAACAGATCTAGCCTTCAGGAACCAAAGTCCTTTCTAAATCTTAGTGTTTCCAAAGAGCTGAATCAAAGACACTTGACCACTTCTAAGAAGGCCAAAGGTCCACTCATTCAAAATAAAACTATTCAAGAAGGGTTCAGCTCAGATCCCAGGGAAAGTCCCACCCATTCTTTGCTTTTAACTTTTCTTCCTGATTGAGGATACAAAGGCTGGACCCTCTACTTCCAGAGACTCCTCCCACCCACCCATCTAACATACTTGACACAAGCTACTGGAGTGTGGATACTCACTCTTGTTACTGATGAAAAGAAGTCAACAGTGCCCAGAATAGGGAAACTTAATTCTTCTCTGGAGTCTATAAAAGGGTGATTTTTTTTAAGAAACAAAAGCCACCCAAGGAGTTGGCAACATAGGGACTGTGGAGCCATATAAGGTTATAAAGTCACTCTACGCAGCTTCAGAAGGTACTTAATCAAGTTGAGAGATAAACTGGGGGAAAACTAAAAGGACTCAAAACAGGTGCCTAAAAAGCCTTAAGGACCTTGTCTTTTGACTCTGAATCTCCCATTTCTTCTCTCTACCCTGCCTGACTATTGAAGTAGAGACAATCAGGTACTCTGCCTTCCATGCCAACATCTGGCATCCAAAGTGATATCAGACAAAGAGAATAGAAAAGGAAAAGCAATTTCTCCAGGTCCTCCCCACACTGGGAAAGGTACAGATATCCTTAGTATGCCTCTTGCTAGCTTTCTTGGGTGACCTCCTCCTCTTCCTGACCCAGCTCTTGCTGATCTTCAGAGCTCATCTCACTGGCTCATTCAGTGCTCTCCTCCTAGCCTTTCAGCACTATCACTATCCCTTCTTTTGCCAGTGTAACTGGAACCAAAGGAGAAACTGTGGTTCTGATGCAACAACTGCTTCAAATCATTTACTCAGTAACAAGAGGCCACATCAATCTCCTTCCCAGAGGAGCCCTACAAAGGAAAGAAGTCATTTATAGCCAGCATTCCCAATGACTTCTGCACTCAGAAAGAGCAGAACTCCAGGGCAGGTCAGAAGCCAGGATTGAGAAATGGCCTGGTGTTAGGACAAAGGCTACTTTCTTAGGCAACTCTTTCTTTTGCTCTCTCAACAGTCAGAGCTCAGGCTACTCTTGCTTAAGCAGTGCTAGATAACAAAGTGCTGGGATTAGATGATACTACCAAAGGAAAGTGAAGAATAAGAAAAACATACCAAGAAGTTCTGGAATTGGCAGAGGTGAGGTGGGGGGTGGAAACTGGCAGGCTAATGTGGCAAAACTGTCCGTGGCACTCAAGATGGCAGTAAGCCCCAATCTCTGACAGTACAGGTATAGATGTCATTCATGGGGAGAAAAGAAAAAACAAGACCAAATATCCAGGAAGAAAACAATGAGTTTGCATGTAAAGATTCTGGGTAGGGCTGGGGATGTGGCTCAAGTGGTAGCGCGCTCGCCTGGCATGCGTGCGACCCGGGTTCGATCCTCAGCACCACATACCAACAAAGATGTTGTGTCCGCCGAGAACTAAAAAATAAATAAAAAATTCTCTCTCTCTCTTTCTCTCTCCTCTCTCACTCTCTCTTTAAAAAAAAAAAAAAAAAAAAGATTCTGGGTAGTTATAGTTTCCAGAAAAAGTAGCAAAGTGCTCCATTTCCAAAAAGGAGCAAAGGAATAGAGTAACCTCCCCTCCTTTGGGGTTCAGAGGCCTTTGTTCCCATATGGAGACCCTCCCACTTACTCTGGCTTTTACAGTAGTAACTTAAGTATGTTGTTACTCCATGTCCTGGCTGCTTAACCCCACAGCTTCAGAGCTTATGTGGACTTTGCCAACTGTGCACCCCAGAGCAATCCTATTGGGTGTGGTCTAGCGGGAAAAGCAAATTTGCCCCCACATTCAATTTTGTGAAATAAACCATGGGGAGAAGGAATAAAAAATGCTTTTTCTCAACCACTGCAGTTGGCTCCAGCTTATTCCTAATGGTGATTTTCTTTTTCAACAAAGGAACAACAGATAGATAAGGTAAAACAAGGCCTGCTCCAAAGTCCAGGGTAATAACACTACAGTCTACAGGACTTCAGGTCACCTGACTAATTCTCTACCAGTATCCAGAAATGTAGCTGACACTGCAGATGGTCTCTGCCTGATCCTTCTAGTCAACCCTTCACATCTGGACCATTCGCTCAGCTGGATTTGATCCCAAAGGGAAATGAAAATTGCACTTATCCTCTGGCTCCCGGTGGCAGTTATTGCTTGGATTCTATTTAGGATTATCTAAAGACCCCCCAAGACAGATCAAGGGGAATATGTAAAACAGCTTAACTGAAACATTGTTTTTACACATTCAAGAGAAACCAATGTAACTTTTACCCATTAAATGTGCTTTTTTTTGTTTCTCTGCTTCCCTCTCCTGTCAGGATTACATCCCCTTCCTCCGAATGCCCCAGCTATGGATCCTGTTCAAAGCACTTCTCATTTTGCCTTAATCCAGGGCTCAAGCAAATAGGATGCAACCAAACCTCACTTGGGCAGTAATGCTGCAAAGTGATGTACATTTTAAGCCAAAAGGGTCAAGACTAAGTAGTGTGATGAGAGTGGCTGCTTTGTATTATCCCATCAATGCTGTTTCCCCTCTAAGCATATACGACGATTTCTACCATCAGCACTTAAAAGCTGTTGAAAAAACACCAGTTTTGCCCAGTAAGACCTGGTCTGTTTGCTGCTTTGCTGAAATGATAATTACAGAGAGACTGAAAAATAGGTTATTTATTTTTGACCTGATTCCAGCTTCTATGGACTGTACTTTCAAGACAAGATCAGAACAGCTTATTTCTTAGTTTAAGTGATAGATAGGACGGGAATGCAGAGTGCTGGCCTAATATGTGTGAGGCCCTACGTTCGATCCCTGGTTCTGAAAAAAAAAAAAAAAAAAGTAACAGTCTCCTTAAAAAGAAAATTCTATGCTTGAAAAAGAGAAAATGTGAGAATTAAAGGCCCCTTTTTTTAAAGAGGAGCCCATACTGAGCTGATGAAAGCAACAGCACTATGAGCCAAGCTTACTGCTGGGCAAGTGAGATTTGCCTTGTCATTACTCAGATGACCCAGGACACAGAGCATATGAAGTCCCACATCCTTTTCCTAACAGCCCAACTGGAGCTAAGAAACAAGGAGGGGTGGGGCTGTTTTATTTGACACAGGTTTGTTTTCTGGTGCATTTACCTTCCCAATTCTGGGCTGGAAAGAATAGCTGCCATCTCCAGGAGGTGCTAGAAATCAGGGAACCAAGTCTTGCTGATGAATTCCCCAAATGTACTAACCCTTCTGTGCCCTTGCCTCCTCCCAAACTTCAAGGGGTCACACCAGGAAGCAGCTACTAATTAAGAACACAATCCAGGGGCTGGGGATGTGGCTCAAGCAGTAGCACGCTTGCCTGGCATGTGCGCGGCACTGAGTTCAATCCTCAGCACCACATACAAATAAAGATGTTGTGTCTGCTGAAAACTAAACAAATAAAAAAAAATATATATAAAAAGAAAACAATCCAAAAGCTAAGGAATAAATTATTTCTTTATATTTATATTCTTCTACAAAGTATAAATGCTAATTCAGTAAGTCACTCTATGAGAAAAAGACCCTCTAAAGTGATACCCAATTTTATGAACACTAATTATTCTCCCAAGTCTGGATTTCCTAGAAGTCAGATCACTTACAACTACGCTTGTCTTCCACTTCTCCACTTGAAGGCTGGCCTATTCCCCCAGTTGAATCTCAACTGGGGAAAATATAGAGAACCCACAAAAAAAAAAAAAAATGAAAAAATGAAACCAGGGATGATCTAACCATTGAGCTACATCTCTAGTCTTTTTCTTTCTTTTCTTTTTTTTTTTTTTTTTTGTTATGAAACGGATCTTGCTAAGTTGCCTAGGCTGGCCTCAAACTTACAATCTTCTTGCCTCCCAAGTCACTGGGTTTACAGGTGAGTGTCACCACACAAGGCACAACACCAAAATTTGTCCAACACTCTGATAGTATTTTATTTCAAACTCTGATCTCTGCCCAGTGATTACAAAAGAATGTTACCTATTAGCTCCCACAGTCTCTGCTGTGAAAAAAAGTATCAGATGTTTGTTCAGTGAAACATATTGTCTTTCATCTAGACTCAGAAGCTAGACATATGATTTTAAAAAGAAAAAGGGTCCATGGCCGTGCATACTAGCCAACGACCTGGGCCCAGCCATCAGACATGATTGTAAGGATGAATCTGCTCAAAAGATCCAAGCAAGGCAGGAGGAAACAGGGGTGGTCTGAAAGAGATGGATGACTTCACAACGTCCAGAATCATCATCACCAGTGCTTCACCCCAAGAGTCATTTTTGTCGTCAGGCTAGCTGAGACTTATGGTTCTCTCTTTGTGCCTCTTCACATTTTTCCCAAGGTTCCAGCTGGGGGCCAGGAATCATCACCGTCTGAAAGATAGTAGGATGAGTTACCTGCCAGCCAAGACCATGGCTTACCCAGAAGGCTTCATCCCTGCCTCTACCCATCCCATAACAAAGAGTTCCTCTTCTCCACTGTTGAATCTTTCCCTCTCTCCTTAGGTGGAGCCCAAGAGGACTTAGTATGCCCATCTATCGACTGAGGTCTCTTCTTCCTCTGTGGCGCTGGGGATAGAACCCAGGGCCTTGTACATGCTTGGCAAGAGATCTACCTATGAGCTATACCCCCAGCCCCTGCCTCAGGCCTCTTAAACTGTACAAGCTTCCTTACCTTAAGGATGGGCTGCTTAGGGGGTGCCCATGGGGGAACAATCTTGCCATGCATTCTCCAGTTCCCGTAGGGGTTCAGCAGGTGTTTTTCAAACACAATATACTCCAAGACATCCTTGGGTACATCTTCTTGTCCATACATCAACCGCCCAAACCGATCATAGATAGCTAGAGTCTGTAAGGATGAAAGCAAATCTGGCATGTTAGGATTTTTTGTTTTGTTTTCCTTTGTTTTGCCAAACAACCATTTTAGAAATAATCTTAACAAGAATTTTTAAATTTTCAAAAAAATTTTTTAAATCTCAGAAGTCTAGGGCTGGGCTTATAGCACTGTGGCAGAATGCTTGCCTTGTACTTATGAGGTACTGGGTTCAATCCTCAGCATCACATAAAACATAAATAAAACAAATAAAGATATTGTGTCCATCTTTAAAAAAAATCTCAGAAGTCTGAATCAAAGACTAACTAATCAACTGCTGACACTTTGTTCTTAGAGATTCTTTGATGGGAAAGGGCAGAGTGGGGTTAACACTAGGAAGGGTGAGAGAGAATGTCCTTACACCACACCTTAGTAGGGCTAACATTATTAGCATTAGGAAGGGGCAATGACAGAAAGAAGACCACAGTGAACCTTTCCTTAGAACCTACAGTACCGGGCTGGGGATGTGGCTCAAGCGGTAGAGCGCTCGCCTGGCATGCGTGCGACCCGGGTTTGATCCTCAGCACCACATACAAAGATGTTGTGTCCGCCAAAAACTAAAAAATAAATATTAAAATTCTCTCTCTTTAAAAAAAAAAAAAAAAGAACCTACAGTACTGGAGCTGGAGATGCAGCTCAGTGGTAGAGCCCCTGCTTAGCATGCATGAGGCCCTGGGTTCCATCCCAAGCATCACCAAAAAAAAAAAAAAAAAAAAAAATCCCCAAACCTCAAGTCCTGAACTGGAAGAAGATTCTGGAAGAAGATTCTAAATCTGAGAGAAAAGAGAAGCTGGAAGGAAAGCAAACTGGTGACTCTACCTGCCGGGTGTGCATGCGGACAGTAACCTGGCCATACATGTTGCTCTGGTTCACCATACTCGAGCAGCGAACCTGCACCACCTGGGCCGGCTCTAAAGATTCCACGAAGCCCCAGCGGACAGTCTTATACTTGATGTCCCAGACCATATTCTAAGGGCAGAGAAGAACAAGTTCAACTGGGTTTCCCCCTCCCTGTAAGGTTGCTGGAACTGCCACACTTGCTCTCACTTCCTGCAATACTACAGCCCACAGGCAGTGTTTCCCACCAAATGCTCTCTTGTGCCTTTTATTCCCAAGTCATGATTAAGCTACTGCTCAAGCTCAAGCTTTAGACTTTTCATCTAAATCACCTCCCCTGAGACCTACCTATCTCAAGGACCCTTCAAGTGAAAACCGCATTCCACACTATTGCCAGCATACCCAATGAGCCATATTTCCTCTCATTCACTTGCATAATCTATTAATGACTGCATATTTCTCTTCCCTCCCCCCTCACCTTTTAGCAGTAAAGGTAGGAATTTCACCAAGACCTATTGCTCTAATTATCCCTGGGGGGATTGATAGAAACTGAAGTTCTACAGATAGAAACTACAGCTGAATTTGTAGAAAATGAAGTTCTTATTCTTGAACTTCTAACTGAAGCATAAAGCACCCTCCCTTTTTTTTTTTTTTGTACCAAGGATTGAACTCAGGGGCATTCAACCACTAAGCCACATCCCCAGCCCTATTTTTTGTATTTTCCTTAGAGACAGGGTCTCACTGAATTGCTTAATGCCTTGCTATTTGCTGAGGCAGGCTCATATAGCCCTATTCTTGAGAGCCCCTAGTGCACCTAAGGCCCGTTACCAAATAAGCCTTGTGAACCCTTGTTAAATCCTTGCTGCACTGCAGACATGTGTAGGTGTGGCTTCACACAGCCTACTGTAACCTCAGGATCTACACCTCATGGTTTCAGCGCTGTCCACTGAGGTACTCCTGCTTTTCTTCATTTGCTATGGATCTTACCAGACTCTGTGCCAAGTCATTATCATTTAGCTAAAACTAAAAAAATTTAAGCCTGTGCCTTAAACTTACTACACTTTCAAATCTGATCCTTCATGCCAGGTGTAGGTGGTGGTACATGCCTGTAATCTCAGCAGCTCAGGAGGCTGCAGCAGGAAGATTGCAAGTTCAAAGTCAGCCTCTGCAACTTAGCAAGGTCCCATTTCAAAATAAAAAATAAAAAAGGGGTGCAGATGTAGCAGTGAGTCGTTCAGCACCCCTGGGTTCAATCCCTGGTACCAAAAATAAATAAATAAATGAAGAATTAATTGAAAAGAAAAACAAAAAAAACAAAAAACTGATCCTTTGTAAGACAACACATCTATGCTCTGCCCTTCAGGTATCCAGCAGCTCTAAGAAGGATGAAAACCTACCGGAAAACAGTGTTCAGTTACCAAAGTATGAAGCCGGTCATGGTCTGAGCTAGGAAAGAGAGAGAGAGAGAGAGAGATATCACTGACACCTTCTTTTATGATGCCCTGTGTGAAAGTTGAATATGGACCTAAAAGTGAAAAACAATTCATTTTTACATTTTTCTGCACATGTACTGTAAGCCAGATGACATGCTAAGTTCTAGAAACACAAAAATGAACCCTTCTTATCTATTATCCCACCTCAGAAGTTTTCAGGAGAAATAAATTCCATTTTTGATGAGCTCTCTTAGTCTTTTTTGGGTTTATTTGTTTATTTTTGGTATCGAGGACTGAACTCGATATGGCACTCGACCACTGAGCCATACCCCCAGTTCTATTTTGTATTTTATTTAGAAACAGGGTCTAATTGAGTTGCTTAGTCGTTGCTGAGGCTGGCTTTGAATTTGTGATTCTCCCATCTTAGCCTCCCAAGCTCCTGAGTACTTATTTATTTTAAGGCAGGGTCTTGTTAGGTTGCCTCTGTGGCCCAGGCTGGCCTTGAAGTTTGGATTTTCCTGCTCAGTCTCCGAAGTAGCTGGGACTATAGGCACACACCACCATGCCTGGCTTAAGTTCATTTAATGTTAGAAGAGAACTTACACTGAAAAATAAAAGGAAGACATTCTGAAACATAACAGACAGAACTCATGTGAACCTACTCCCACTGCAAACATCTAGAAATGCTGGGTAAAATATAATGGATGCACACACACACACACAGAGGTTGCTTTTTCACTTAGGAGTAGGTTATATCCTGGTAAACCCATCATTAAATTGAAAATACTGAAAGCTAAAGGCATACTTAATACACCTAACCTAACAATATCTTATAGTAACAAAGTATACCACAGAGTATTGAATGGTGGCTTCCCCTACAGCTGCACATCACCATGAGACAAAATCATATGCATATTGGTAACTCAGGAAAGATCAAAAATCAAAATTCAAAGTATGGGTTTCTACTGAATATATATTACTTTCACACCATCATGAAGTAAAAAAAAAAAATATATCCTAAGTTGAACCATTGTAAGTCAGGGATCATTTGCACACACATTTTTAAACAGGCAAGCCTAATTTACAAGGAAAAAAGGAAAATCCCTAGATGTAAGAAATGAAGAGGGATCCAAAAACATTCAAAAAGGAAAAAATGCAACCTGATAGACTCTATGACAGCATGAAGGATGATTGAGCAATCCAGAAATAAATAGCACATTCTTTTTTTTTTTTATATTTACTTTTTAGTTGTAGTTGGACACAATACCCTTATTTTATTGATTTATATGTGGGGTGAGGATCGAACCCAGGGCCCTGCACGTGCTAGGCAAGCACTCTATCGTTGAGCCACAACCCCAGGCCCTACATAGCACATTCTTAAATGGGTCAAAGAAGACAAGGGATATCAGAAAATACTCTGAGATAAATAAAAAATACAACATACCAAAACCTATGGGATGCAGCAAAAGGAATACTAAGAAGAAAATTCAGAGATGCAAATGCCCACATTAAAAAAGAAGAGTGGTCAAGTATATGCTTAGCACGGGTTTAATACCTGTAGCATGGGTGCGTACCTGTAGTCTCAGGGACTGGACAGCGTGACATATATTCGTCATGGGTTCCAGAAACTGGAAAGCCCAAGATCAGGACACTGGCAAATTCGATGTCTGGCATGGACCCATTCAACGTACAYTGGTGCCTTCTTGCTAAGTCCTCAAAGGGCAAAAAGTTCTCTCAGGCCTCTTTTATAAGGGCCCTAATTCCATTCATTAGGGCTCTGTTCTCATAATTTGATCACCTCCCTAAGGATCCAAAGCCTAATACGATCACCTTGGCTGTTAAGATTTCAACATATAATTTTAGGAGGACACAATGATTCAGAGAACAGCATTAGAATAGGCAAATTCTGGGGCTGGGATTGTGGCTCAGCGGCAGAGCACTCGCCTAGCACTCGGGGGACCTGGGTTCAATCCTCAGCACCACATAAAAATAAAGCATTGTGTTGTGTCCGTCTACACCTAAAAAATAAATATTTAAAAAAAAAAAAAAAAAAAGAATAGGCAAATTCATAAAGTGAGAAAATAGAATGGATGTTAACAAAAGAGAAGGGAAAATGGGTAATTATTGCTTAATGACCATAAGGTTTCTGTTTGGGATGATGAACAAGTTCTAGAAATGAATAGTGATAATGGTGGTGCAACAACCACTGAATTATACACTGAAATCATTAAAATGGTAAATTTTATAGTATAAAATTTTATAATATTTTATATTTTATATTAGGCATATTTTATTACAAACATGTATAAATATATAAAAGATGTTAGTAAAGACACACATATATATATATATATTAACTTTTTATTTTTTGGTACCAGGGATTGAACCCAGGAGTTCTTAACCACTGAGCCACACCTCTAGCCCTTTATTTTTTTAATTATTTTTTTAGTTGTAGTGTAGATATTGTGTAGACACAATATCTTTATTTTATTTATTTTTATATGGTGCTAAGGATCGAACCCAGGGCCTCACACGTGTTAGGCAAACGCTCTACTGCTGACCCACAACCCCAGCCCCATCTCTAGCCCTTTTAAATTTTTATTTTGATACAAGGTCTCACTAAATTGCTCAGGACCTTGCTAAGTTTTTGAAGCTGCCCTTACACTTGTAATGCTCTGTCTCAGCCTTCTGAATCAATGAGATTACAAGTGTGCATCACCACACCCAGCTAAAGGTGTATGTGTGTGTGTATTTTTTTTTTTGTAGTTATAGATGGACACAATAGATAGATAAGTAAATCTATCTATCTATCTATCTATCTATCTATTTATTTATTCATTTTGTGGGGCTGAGGATCAAACACAGTGCAGGCACTCTACCACTAAGCCATAACCCCAGCCCCTAAAGGTATAGTTTTTGACATGATTATATCTTTAATTTTTCTTTTTCTTCTTCCTTTTAAGAGAAGGCTTTTCTATATATGTTGTCCAGGCTGGCCTAGAACTCCTACCTCACTCAGTCCTCCAGCCTCAGTATCCCAAGTAGCTAGGATTACAGGTGTGCTCCATGGTACCCAGCATATCTTTTGATTCTTAAAAAATAAATATTTGGGCTGAGTAAGGTGGTATGGGTCTATAATTCCAGCTACTGAGGAGGTTAACACTGGAAGATTCCAAGTTCAAGGCCAACATGGGCAACACAGCAAAACTCTACTCAAAATCAAAAAATGTAAAAGGGCTAGTTATGTAGCTCAGTGGTAGAGCATGTGCTTAGCACTGCATAAGGCCCTGGACTCGCTCCCCAGTACCAAAAAACAAAACTATTTTTTAGAAAAATGCAGGCATACAAAAGATAAGAACTAACCAAAATCAAAAAGAGGGGAGAGAAAAGGCAACTGAAAACAACTGTACAGCATATATAGATTGTGGAGTTACCAAAGATTTTAAAATAAGTGTAATAATATGTTTAAGAATTCAGGGGCTGGGGATATAGTTCAATTGGTTGAGTACTTGTCTTGCATGGACAAGGCCTTGGGTTCAATCCCCAGTACCACCAAAAAAAAAAAAAAAAAAAAAATTTCAAGAGCAACCTGCTATTGGGTCCCCCCTTGCTCTGTGGGAGCTCTGTCACTTTTCTCCTTACTTAAATAAATCCTATTCCTTTCATTCTTGAAAAAAAACAAAGAAAGAAAATAAATTAGGGGCTGGGGATGTGGCTCAAGCGGTAGCGCGCTCGCCTGGCATGTGTGCGGCCCGGGTTCAATTCTCAGCACCACATACAAACAAAGATGTTGTGTCCGCCAATAACTAAAAAATAAATATTAAAAATTCTCTCTCTCTCTTTCCCTCTCTCACTCTCTCTTTAAAAAAAAAATAAACAAACTGTATTTTAAAAAAATAAATAAAAAATAAACTAGAGCCAGGCACAATGGCACATGCCTATAATCCCAGCAGCTCAGGAGGCTGAGCCCTAAACAACTTAGCAAAACTCTGTCTCAAAATAAAATAAAAGAGCTAGGGACATAGCTCAGTGGCAAAGCACCCCTGGGTTCAATTCCCAGTACCAAAAAAAAAAAAGAAAGAGAGAGAAAGAGAAGAAATTAGGTGACAAGACAGATGTGCATCTGTAATCCCAGCTACTTGGGGTGGGGAGCACAGGGAGTAGCTGAGCCAGAAGGATATTTGGCCCAGTAATTCAAGGCCAGCTTGGGCAACATATCAATACCTTGACTTTCTCTCTCTCTCTTTTTTTTTTTAATTGTACTTGGACACAATACTTTTATTTTATTTATTGTATGTGGTGCTAGGCGAGCACTCTACCACTGAGCAACAACCCCAGCCCAAAAAACCTTGACTCTATAAAATAAATAAATAAGTAAAAAACATAATAAAGTAAGAAGTTAGATGACAAGATGGAAAATTTTAGCAGAGAAACTGGACACAGTAAAAAACAACAACAAGGGGCTGGGGATGTGGCTCAAGCGGTAGCACGCTTGCCTGGCATATGTGTGGCCCAGGTTCGATCCTCAGCACCACATACAAACAAAGATGTTGTGTCCACCGAAAACTAAAAAATAAATATTAAAAACAACAACAACAACAACAACAACAAGGGCTGGGATTGTGGCTCAGCGATAGAGCGCTTGCCTAGAACAGGCAGGACCCGGGTTCAATTCTCAGCACCACATAAAAATAAAGGCATTGTGTTGTGTCCATCTACACCTAAAAAAAATAAAATATTTAAACAACAACAAAAATCAAGTGAAAAAAGATCAAGCTAAGTTTAACAGCAAATTACATACATTAAAAAGACAAGAAGACAAACCAGAAATAATCAGACTAAAGATGTAGAGATGGAAAAAAAATGACTGGAAAAATACTAAAAAAGAGCCTAAAACACATTTGGCACACAGTGAAAAGCTCTAACATATGTCTATTCAAAAATCACACAATGAAACGAAAAAGTAGAGCAGAAGCAACATTTGAAGAGATATTCTGAGAATCTTCCAACACTGAAAAAATACCCTAAAATTTAAAAACCAATAGGAAACATACCAGAACAAAGACACACACACAAACACACACACACACACACAAACACACACAACTGTAAGTACATCATAGTAAATTGCTGAATACTCAAGGGAGAGAAAAAAATCTTAAAAGCAGCCAGATGAGAAGAAAATTTAACTTCAAAGAAACAACTAGAAAAAATAGATAACTTTCCAATAGAAACAGCAGTAACCAAAAGATTACATCTTAAAAATGCTCATAGAATATAAGAAAGAAGGAAGGAATTCTTTCAGGTTTGGGAAGGGAAGTAAACAAAACATGAAAGCTACATAAAAAGAAACCAGAACCAAAAATTTAGACCACAATAGCATGGAAGGGGGATAAGGCAGTGATTAAAATTAAAGTGTTTGCTGGGCACAGTGGCACACATCTGTAATCCCAGCAGCTCAGGAGACTGAGGCATGAGGATCATGAGTTCGAAGCCAGCCTCAACAACTTATCAAGGCCCTAAGTGATTCAGCAAGACCCTATCTCAAGATAAAAATGTTCTGCCAGACATGGTGGCCTACACCTGTAATCCCAGCTACTTGGGAGGGTATGGCAAGAGGACTACAAGTCTGAGGCCAGCCTGGACAACTTAGCAAGACTTTGTATCAAAATAAAAAGGGCTGGGGAATGTAGCTCAGTAGTCAAGTGCCTCTGGGTTCAATCCCTAGCACCACAAAAAAAAAAAAAAAAAGTTAAAATGCCCTTGGTTGAAAAAAAGTTAAAATGTCCTTGGTTGAATAAAATTTAAAAAGCTGGAAATTTTCAAAAGTAACTAATTCAAAATAACTCAAGGAAAGGAAAATGTACATACATAAGACAAATGTACAAAAAAGATCAGGATGATTTAAGCCATTCCAGCATAGTCCCAACACTTGCAGGTAAAACTGAGGCAGACCAAATGGTAAAACTCCTACAAGCAGGGAGAGAAGCAAAACATCACTTCAGTCACTAATTACTTTCCACATTGCAAGTTCTCTCAAAGAACTTTTTTTTTTTTTTAATATTTATTTCTTAGTTGTAGTTAGACACAATATGTTTGTTTATATATGGTGCTGAGGATCGAACCCACGGCCTCACACTTGCTAGGTGAGCGCTCTACCGCTGAGCCACAACCCCAGCCCCAGAACTCTTTTTTTAAAAACTGTTGATGGACCTTTATTTTATTTGTTTATTTATATATGGTGCTAAGAATGGAATCCAGTGCCTCACACATGCCAGGCAAGCACTGTACCACTGAGCTACAATCCCAGCCCCTCACTCTAGAACTCTTATTTGAAAGAAAAGGAAATAAATATGTGCAGAAAACTGTGCCTTGGGGCTGTGTGGTGGCTCAGTGGTAGAGTACATGCCTAGCATGTGAGGCATTGGGTTCCATTCTTAGCACTGTATATAAATAAGTGAATAAAAATAAAGGTCCATCAAAATCTAAATATATATATATTTTTTTTAAAAATGTGCCTAGGATAATAGCTATTGAGAACAAACACATACAAGATAGGGAGTTCACTTACTTATTTAGACAAAGGTGAGCTTCTATGAAAATATCCTTAGCTTTTTCAGGGAAGTCCTTTGTTTTAAAATTAGCATCAAATTCTTTTATCTTCCGGATTCTGTAAAATTAAGCATGAGAATCATTATAAAGAAAGCTTCATAGAATTCCCATAACTCCTAACTTACATTAACCTCCATTAGTACCTGCTCATTCAATAATTAATTTTTGAATGTGTCAATTCCTGTAAATTCAAGCCTCAAATTCTCAAATCAATCATTCAAGGCTCTCAAAGTGAAATTTTAGAATTCTGGGATTGAAAAAAATTATCCTGGTTGGGGTTGTGGCTCAGCGGTAGCGCGCTTGCCTAGTATGTGTGAGGCACTGGGTTTGATTCTCAGCACCATATACCAATAAGTGAAAATAAAAGTCCATCAACAATTTAAAAAAATATTTTAAAAAATTATCCTATGAGCACTAAGACAGAAAGAACAACCCAGAAGTATAGTTTAGTGACAGAGCACATGCTCAGCACATGAATACCTAGTTCAATCCCAAGGAAAGGAAGAAAGATAAAAAGGTAGGAAGGAGGGAGGGAAGGCAAGGAAAAAAGGAAGGAAGAAAGAATGGATGATCAAACAGTTTTCATTCAAAGCTGGGGATAAGCTCAGTTGGGCTGGGGATAAAGCTCAGTTGGCCGAGTGCCTGCCTTGCGTGCACAAGACCCTGGTTTAAATCCCCAGCACGACAAAAATAAAAATCAGAATGAAGAAGTACTTTTTGTACTGGGGACTGAACCCAGGGATATTCTACCACAGAGCTACACAGCCCTTTTCTTTTATTTTTTTAGATAGGTGACTGGGTTTACATGTATGCACTAGCATGCCAAGTGGAGCAGTACTTTCCCCCCCGCCCCATACTAGGGATTGAACCCAGGGCCTCACACATGCTAGGAAAGTACTATACCACTGAGGTATATCCCCAGCTTCAGAACAGTGGTTTTAATTGAGGAAAAAGTAAATCTGGCCCAGAATTGTATTCCTGAGAAAATTATAAATGAAGTAGGAGAATAAAAGATGATTTATTTTTTCTTTGAGTACTGGGGATTGAACCTAGGGGTGCTTAACCACAGAGCCACATCCCTCTCAGCCTTTTTTATTGAGAGGATCTTTATAAGTTGTTTAGGGCCTCGCTAAGTTGGTAAGGCTGGCTTTGAATTTGTGATCCTCCTGCCTCAGCCTCCTGAGCTGCTGGGATTATAGGCACATACCACAATATCCAGTAAGATTTCTCTTTTATATTTGTAAGATCTCATTTATTGACCATGCACTGTTTTGGGGTTTTGTTTTTAATATTTTAGTTGTGGATGGACACAATACCTTTATTTATTTATTTTTATGTGGTGCTAAGCATTAAACCCAGTGCCTCACACATGCTAGGTAAGAGCTCCACCACTAAGCTACAGCCCCAGCCCCCCATAAATTGTTTCTTAGGAAGCTACTAAAGAATGTCTTCAGAGTAAAAAATGAAGCATTAGCTAGGTGCAGTAGTGTAGACCCAGCAACTTGGGAAGCTGAGGCAGGGGAATAATGAGTATAAGGCCAGTCTGGGAAATAGAGGGATCCCATCTCAAAAAGCAAAAAAACAAACCAAAACCAAACAACACATGAAAGGGGAAGACACACGATCCAAGAAACAGGGAATACAACACAAAAGAAAAAAAAGGAATGTTAGGCTGTTGACTAAATAGATCCCAAGATGTACAGTGGGGCCCAAAAAGCAACTAAGACTGAAATAGAAAGGTTCCAGGAACAATTTCTTGAGGATTAAACTGATAAATACTTAATGTTTTAAATGTAATAAAAGGGGATTTACATAAATACAGGTTTTTTTAAGCAAAATAGAAAACAAATTCAGAAAAAAAAATTTATGTTGGAAAGGAAAAACAATCACAATGTTATATGATTCATAAGTCAATAGCATTTTGAGTTATAATTTTATATAATTAGGGAATCCTGATTTAATCAGAGTGTAACTATAAATATATTCAAAGTATGAAGAACACCATCCAGTAGAATTTATCCCAGGAATGCAAGGTTAGCTTAAAATATGAATGTCAATTAGTGTAACATACCATATGGACAGAATAAAGACAAATAGACCATCATCTCAATAGATACCACAAAAGCATTTGACAGTTGTTGGTGGTATATGTCTATAATCTCGCTACTTGGTAGGCTGAGGCACAGGATCACAAGTTTGAGGCCAGACTGGACAACTAAGGAAGAACCTGTCTCAAAATTTTAAAAATGTAAAAAAAGGGCTAGGGATGAAGCTCAGTGGTAGAGTGTCCCTGGGCTCAATCCACATTATGGGATGGGGATGGGGTGGCATTTGACAAAAACCAACACCTTTTCTTTCTTTTTTTGTTTTTAAAGAGAGAGAGAGAGAGAGAGAGAGAGAGAGAGAGAGAAAATTTTTTTTTAATATTTATTTTTCAGTTTTTGGCAGACACACATCTTTGTTTGTATGTGGTGCTAAGGATCAAACCCGGGCTGCACGCATGCCAGGCAAGCGTGCTACCGCTTGAGCCACATCCCCAGCCCCAAACCAACACCTTTTCAATAATTTTTTTCACTACAGAGCCTTGCTCATATTGTTCTGTCTCCCTAGAATGCCATTTCCTGCTATCCTTCTCCACCCAGCTAACTCCAAACAATCCCTTAGGTCCCAACTTTAAAGTATCATTTCCTCAGGGAAGCCTTCCATGCTCCACCAGATTGTCATCTTTCCCTGTCATGTGTTCCCACAGCACTCATACTTCAGCTTATCTATAATTATTTAATTGTATGCAATCAGTATTTACAGTGACTGTTTTTCCTTCCTAGAATGGTAACTCTATGAAAAAATTATATGAGTTTTGTTCATCATAATTATCAGAGACCCCACAGTTCAGGAGCAAATATTAGCAGTACAGGGCTGGGGATGTGGCTCAAGCGGTAGCGCGCTCGCCTGGCATGCGTGCGGCCTGGGTTCGATCCTCAGCACCACATACAAAGATGTTGTGTCTGCCGAGAACTAAAAAATAAATATTAGAAAATTCTCTCTCTCTCTCTCTCCCCCCACTCTCTTAAAAAAAAAAAATATTAGCAGTACAGTTATTAGAAAAAGTAAGTATAAGTGTTCAGTTACAATTAAAGCAAAAGCAGCACTAAAAAGAGTTAGAGAAGGCCTAACAGCAGACACTACTCTTTTTTTTTTTAGGGGGAGAGAGAGAGAATTTTATATTTATTTTTTAGTTTTCTGCAGACACAACGTCTTTGTTTCTATGTGGTGCTGAGGATCGAACCCAGGCCGCACGCATGCCAGGCGAGCGTGCTACTGCTTGAACCACATCCCCAGCCCGCAGACACTACTCTTAAAACGGGTTTTATGTTAGTAAGGCAAGGCGAGGGTGTTTTCAGGATGTGCAAAGAGAGAAGCACAGCACAGAACTCTAAGGAATTGGCAATTAGTTCAGAAATGCTGAAGTTTAGGATGAGAAAAATGGAACAAGGGGCAAAAGATGATGATAGAGGAGGTGGCAAGGGCCAGATCACAAGTGTTGCCTATCACTGAAGAAATCTGGATTTTATTCTTCAGGCAATGGAGAACCACAGAGTTTAAAGCAGGGAAGGTGACATGATAAGATCTGTATTTAGAGAAGTAAGTCATGGCCATGTGAAAAACTAACACTGACAATATACTTATACTCAAAACCTATACATAATCCCAAAGCACTTATAATTTAGATTCAGAAAGTGACAAATACAAATACTCAAAACCTATACATAATCCCAAAGCACTTATAATTTAGATTCAGAAAGTGACAAATACTAAGTGATTTTGTACTTTCAATTAAGAAGTTCAAGATCCTGCTCCTTAAGGCCCTATTCGTTCCCTGTAACAGATGTCTTCTTGACCCTTTTTTTTAACTTTTCTTACTCTTTGAAGCTTTAACTCTAAGATAATTCTTAAATAAATATGCTGCCTTTATTATTATTTATTAAAAATTTTAAATGTGATTGCAAAAGGGGTCCACATATTAACTGATTTGACTAAATTATCAATAAAGGTTGAGATGTTAAGAATCAGAATGCCGGGCTGGGGATGTGGCTCAAGCGGTAGCGCGCTCGCTTGGCATGCGTGCGGCCCGGGTTCGATCCTCAGCACCACATACAAACAAAGATGTTGTGTCCGCCGAGAACTAAAAAATAAATATTAAAATTCAAAAAAAAAAAGAATCAGAATGCCACTTGGGTTGTGGCTCAGCGGTTAGAGGACTCGCCTGGCATGTGCGAGGCCCTGGGTTCGATCCTCAGCACCACATAAAAATAAATAAACAAAATAAATATTCAAAAAAAAGGAATTAGAATGCCCACATTATTCTGCATTAAATACAAATCTATTACAGAAGACAATACTGACAAAACATTAAAGAAGTTATACTCAACCCAATTAACCCAAGAAGGCATCTCTGGGATAAAGTAACAATAAGAAACTTCTATTTGAACATTGACCCATAATTGTCTCCAACACCTACGACAATTGTGATGCTGCATTTTTCTTCAATCGCTCAGTTCTCTGTTTCAGTCCTTCCTTTGAAAGAGATGACATTCGAGCATCACCCTCAGGAGGAACATAAGCATCAAAGATACCAGCTGTAAGGAGAGAAGAAAATTAAATAGGTTTTAAAAGAATCATAAAAAATCACCTTCAGGTCACATAAAATTGGGAAGGATCCTGGATAAAAAGTAAACTAATCTATAAAATAGGTTTCCACATAGAAGAAACCATGTTATACTAGGAAAAAAACAGAATAATTTAAAAGTCTGTTTCTACTTCTACAAAATGCGGAAATTTCACATTTGCTTTCTAGAAATACTGTGAAAACAAGATCAAGATTTTATGAAACACAATGTATATAAAATAAATACTGAGGCTGAATTGATTTAGTGGTTAATTAAATGCTATCAATCTTAGTTCAAGAATTCCAAGTTCCAGAAGGTCTCTGATAGTAGAGTATAGGGTAAAGGTCCCCAAAATACTGCACCTCACCTGTACAGGCCACATGTATGGGCCGATCCAAACGTTCTGGGGGAATAACCAATCCTGCTTTCCGGGCATATTCTATAAACTCCTTTTCTGTTTTGTATTTGGGTTCATAAGCAGGAGGTGTGAAACGTTTTTTAGTTCTTACTGGAACTACAGCTGTAGACTGAGTCATCAAGAGTGACTGAAATATAAGGAACAGATTAGAGTATAGGCAACCTGAAAAAAAAAAATCTATTTTGAACAAACTCTAAGCAATGCATATCCAAAGATTGTTTCAGGAAGAATTATAATGGAGAAAATGCACTGATGCCTTAACACCTAGGGACATATCAGACTCCAGTTAGCAATTTTTATTAACATCACTCAACATTTATTTAAAAAAGGCTTTCTTCTAGTACATTCCATAGTACTACTAGATACAGAGTTATTAAAGCAAAGCACTTTCAAAGAACTTTTCAATCTGATGAGGAACTTTAATATCAACCCAATACCCACATGAATGGAACGCTGTTATTGAAATATAAGCAAAGTTCTCTTCTTGACACCTTTTGCTCATTCTATCAGGAATCTCACTGGAAATTATTCTACTGTTCTAGCTCCCAATGAACAAAAAATAATTTAAAGGCCAGGTGACCTGCTCACTCTGATCATAAGATTTGCTCAGGAAGGGGCAGTGACAATAAAGGACTCTCTCCTTTCCAGCTACCTTTTTTTTTTTAATATTTACTTTTTAGTTTTAGGTGGAATATAATATTCTTTTTTTATTTTTATGTAGTGCTGAGGATCGAACCCAGTGCCTCATGCATGATAGGCAAGTGCTCTACCACTGAGCCACAAATCTCAGCCCTTCCAGCTACCTTTTTTTTTTTAATATTTACTTTTTAGTTTTAGGTGGAATATAATATTCTTTTTTTATTTTTATGTAGTGCTGAGGATCGAACCCAGTGCCTCATGCATGATAGGCAAGTGCTCTACCACTGAGCCACAAATCTCAGCCCTTCCAGCTACCTTTTTTTTTTTAATATTTACTTTTTAGTTTTAGGTGGAATATAATATTCTTTTTTTATTTTTATGTAGTGCTGAGGATCGAACCCAGTGCCTCATGCATGATAGGCAAGTGCTCTACCACTGAGCCACAAATCTCAGCCCTTCCAGCTACCTTTTTTTTTTTTTAATTGGTCATTGAACCCAGGGGCACTTTACCACTGAGTCACATCCTCAGCCCTTTTATTATTTTGAGACTAGGTCTCCCCAAGTTGCTTTGGGCTTCACTAAACTGCTGAGGCTCGCCTCGAACTTGGGATTCTTCTGGCTCAGCCTCCCGAGTTGCTGGGATTACAGGCCACCTTTCCAGCTAACAATTTAGGCTATGTATAAGAATCTAGGAGAAGCGGGCCCACCCGCCAAGGCTCCACTTCTTTCCCCTTTAACACCTCCAGATAGACCCAATCCAAACTGAAGGGACCTAATTCATTTGACCTTAAGGCCCCSCACAGGATCTCCCCATTAGGTCAAAGAGCCACGTAAGGGAATCTCGTCCATCTCAAAACTTTTCCCAAAACTAGTTCTGGCCGCTTGGCCCAGCTGCACCAAGGACAACTGCGCATTGAATATTCCCTTCTATTCTATCCTCCTTCTCCAGTCCCTAGCGTCCTATCTGTCCTGTCCCTACCCACCTGCCGAGACCACCATCCCAAAGCTTTGGATAAGCAAGACAACCTCTGAGGCACGGGGGCTGCCATTTTGTTCACGCAAAGGCCGCTGGGATGGGGGCTCTGCAAGAAAAGTGTGAGGTAGGAGAGAAGGCGCAAAGGGTGGAGCTAGCTCGGGAGTGGAATTTTCCAGGGAGCGCGCCCTCTGACGAAATGTGAGCCGCGTGGACGCGCACGTGCTCGCGGCGGTAGGGAGGGTCGCGTACGGACGCGCGCGTGCGCAGTTGGGGGTATGGAGAAATGCACGGCTGTCACGCGCCGGCTGGAGAATGCTTGAGTTCCAGCTGCGCGTGCGCATGAGGCTGTCTAGCGGCTTGGGGTTTCTGCATTCCTATGTGTTTGACACCTTGCTGCACCTTACTTACGTTCGGTAAAAAAATAAAAAGGTGTTCCCTCTGAACTCAAGAGAGTTCTGAGGAGACAAGTATTTACCTTAAAAGCCAGGAGTACATTGAAGGTTTCTTGGATCCCAGAAAGGGCGAAAATGAGTAATTTCTGGATCTTTATCTGACCTTATATTATATGCTCTGTAACCTAAAACCTGAGCCTCAAGTTTTCCCTATCTACCTGGGAAGAAAAGTATTATTGTTGAATTAGGAGAATTGTCCATTGTGTTTACTAAGGCAAAAGGTACCCAAGACATTCTTGATTTGTCATTTCAGAAAAGTCACAGGCTTAAAATTAACAAATTTAATAATAGTTGATCCTTAGAAATCACTTACCAGTTGCCTGGCAATTTTCTAAGCATTTTACATCATTTAACTCAATCTTCACCAAATAAGAACAATATTCCCATTTTACATTATATGGTTGAATCACAGAGGAATTAAGTAATTTATTTACTGTTAGACAGCTAAAAACTGGCAGAACTGAAGTTCAAATCCAAACAGTCTAACTCCAGAATCCATGTTCTTAACCACTATGATGTACTTCTCCCATTCAGTTCTTAAAGGAGTCATGATTTGGGGATTATCCTGAAAAATTCAGTTGTCAAAGCAAACATATTCCACACTTACTCTCTGGGTTTGTTGTTGTTTGTAGTTTTGGTTTGGTTTGGTTTGGTTCTGGGTATTAAACCTAGCGGCACTTTACCACAGAGATACATTCTCAGCCTTTATTATTTTTTATTTTGAGACAGGATCTGTCTCAAAATAAAATTAATAATTACTGAAGCTGACCTCCAATTTATGATCCTCCTGCCTCAGCCTCCTGAGTTACTAGGATTATAGGGATGCACCACCAAGCCAGTTTACCCATTGGTTATTATTTTATCAATTACTGTTTGAGCACCTATCTACAATATTTTGCAATGAATTAGGAATTATGGTCTGTGCATACAAGAGCTTTTAGGCTGGAGGATAATTCCTAAAAAGGTTGAAATAAAGTGGTAGGGACTATAAGACAAACTGAGATTACTTATGGATATGGAGACCACATACATCACTTTTTTAAATTTTGTGTGTGTGTGTGTGTGTGTGTGTGTGTGTGTGTATGAGAGAGAGAGAGAAAGAGAGAGAGAGAGAGAGAGAGAGAGAGAGAGAGATGCTGAGGCTTGAACCCAGGGTGCTCCACCACTGAGCTATATCTCCTTTTTTAATTTTTATTTTGAGACAGGGTCTCAMTAGGTTGTCCAGGCTGGCCTTGAATTTTAGATCCTCCTGCCTTAACCTCCTGAGTCCCTGGGATTTCAGGGGTGTGCCACCATGCCCAATATACAAGTATTGTATATTGTTTTAAGTCTTAACTTTTTAACTATACTGAAAATCTTCAAGGGTAAGAATTTCTCCACAAATTCTAGCCACAGCACCAAACCTATAAGATGACGTATTAATAGTGACATGAAATTAGATGCTGTATGCGTTGTGAAATACATATTATTTCAATGAGAAGTATTATTTCTTTTAAAAAATATTTTTAGATGTTGATGGAGCTTAATTTTTTTTAAAGAGAGAGAGAATTTTTTAATATTTATTTTTTAGTTTTCGGCAGACACAATATCTTTGTATGTGGTGCTGAGGATTGAACCCAGGCCGCACGTATGCCAGGCAAGCGTGCTACCGCTTGAACCACATCCCCAGCCCAAGCTTAATTTTTTTAATCATTTTTATTTMTATGTGGTGCTGAGAATCGAACCCAGTGCCTCTCACATGCTAGGCAAGTGCTCTACCACTGAATCACAACCCCAGCTCCGAGAAGTATCATTTCTTAACATCTGTTCACTCTAGTCCCTAGAAAATAAAACATATATATATTTTTCTTTTTTTTTTTTTTAATTGGTATATCCACCAAGTGAGGAAACTCACTCCATGGATGAGTAGTTAGTGGTTATTGACTATACATAAAACTGATATAGTCTCTCTAGGATTATAATGAGTAGTTAGTGGTTATTGACTAAACATAACACTGATATAGTCTCTCTGGGATTATCTTCTCTACTGTTGAGTTTTTCCTAGGCCTCATACAGTAGCCAACACATCTCACATCATTTCTGCCTGCTCTCTGCTCACTTTCTCAGGTACTGCAGGCTTGATCCATATCAGCCAGGATGATATAATAAGGGGAGTCAATATCATTTAATTAATTCTAAAGATGAATTGTAAGTGAATGTTGTTTGATTAGCTGCTGTCTTGGAAAATTCATATCATCTTCCTACCCCATTAACTCCAAGGATAACTGGAAGCTTTTTGCTCAGAAAATATTACCAAAGAATATTTCTTCATCCTTACAACCACTGTGGTAGTTCACATTTCTGAAAAAGCAAGATCAAAAGATCTTGCATTAATGATGAGAACAAGAGAAGAGAAATMTGCAATTAGAGGAAGAAATACATGAGTAAGGGCTCAGCCTGGAAAAGAATAGTCTTGCACATAGTATACACTCAAATATTTAATCAATAAATGGGTAAGGAGAATCCGAGATGAACTATGATGTAGCAGAAGGCAAAATTGATTTCCTGGGACTGGTGTTATGGCTCAGTGGTCCAGCGCTCACCTAGCACATGTGAGGCCCTGGGTTCGATCCTCAGCACCCCATAAAAATAAATAAGTAAATAAAATAAAGGTATTTTGTCCTACTACAACTAAAAAATAAAAATATTGATTCCCTATTTCTCCCAACATGGGAGTTCCTAGGAGTTCCTAGACTCCCTTGTTGTCCTATTGAAACTTCTAAGCAGGGCCCAAAGAGGGTAGGACTTCCCATGAGCAGTGGGACACATACTTGTAATTTTTTCCCCTCCCAGTGGCTGATAACATCAAAGTTTGGAACTTCTGAAATTTTGCTGAGTAGCCTACATCTAGGAGAAGCACAGCCAATTTAAACAGCACAGCTGATTTGTGGTTCAGCGGTGAGCCACAAATTCTTCTGGTGAATTGGAAGAATTTGATTCCAAATAGCATTATACTTGAATTGAAAAAAGAAATAGGCTTGCTTTGTGTTTATATTGTATTTCCCCTCCCTAAAGTGAGAGCACCAAGAGCAAAAGCAGTAAATTGTGGCCAGTCACATGGTGGTGTCACAAGCCTCTAATCCCTGCAACTCAGGAGGCTAAGGCAGGAGGATTGTAAATTCAAAGCCATCCTCAGCAATTTAGTGAGACCCTAAGCAACTAAGCAAGACCCTGTTATGGCTCGGTGGTTAAGCACCCCTGAGTTCAATCCCTAGTAACAAAAAAAGGAAGTGAGTTGTCTAAGACCAGGTGCCACAAGAGAAACAAGAATCCTGACTTCTAAGAAGTACTCCCAACTGATCTTTAGCTAACAATGTTAGCAGAGCTTCTTTGTCACTCCAAGTTAACTACCTATGGCTTTCACATAATGGTTAAGAATGGCCTAATGTTGGGCTGGGGATGTGGCTCAAGTGGTAGCGCGCTCGCCAGGCATGCGTGCGGCCCAGGTTCATCCTCAGCACCACATACAAACAAAGATGTTGTGCCTGCCGAAAACTAAAAAGTAAATATTAAAAAAAAAAAAAAAAAGAATGGCCTAATGCCCAGGCTGATTGCAAGGAGGATTGCAAGTTCAAAGCCAGTCTCTCAACTTAGTGAGGCTCTAAGCAACATAGCAAGATCCTGTCTCAAAATAAAAAAGAAGCTGGGAATGTGGCTCAGTGGCTAACCCAGGTACCAAAACAAAACAACAAAAAAGAATGATATAGTGCTTGAGTTTACGTCTTAGCTCCATTGCTTTCCCTCCTTTGTAGAAAGGGAGTAATTCTGTACCTAACTCACATAATTGTTATTAACTCATTAAAGTGAAATAAATTAAAACTTGTCTCTCTGGTTAGTTATGGCCACTACTTCCAAACATCATGAGAGCCTTGGAGGGGATATATAGGGCTTAGCAGAATCCTAGTAAGTGTATCTGCTCTTTGTGCTGGACACAGAGAACATCCTTGCCTCCAGAGTTCATCCCAGTGCAATGTCCCTAAAGTAAGAGAGATCCAAAGGAGTCATGAACTAGAAATTCCCTGTGTGTTAGTTTTTTTTTCCCCTAATGAGCATTTCACATCTCTGTTGAAGTTACAAAATACAGGTAGTTTCCAAGCCCCGAAGCAAATCCTCATTCCTGGGTTGTATAACTTTCTTCTGTCACCTGTCCTTCTTTCTCATCCATGCTTCCATTCACCCCTGCTGTGGGCGACAAAGCCTTTGCCTTTGCCTCTTTCTGCCTGCCCTAGATTCCCTGTTCTAAAGGTATGTTTAGGATGAGATATTGCTCATCCTGGCACAGCAGAGAAAGAAGCCCATACATCCTGCTGTTCAAGCCAGGCCCAGAATTAATCCCTTGCCTCTTCTTGCTCCACTTTCACCCCAGCTGACTAAATCAAGCAATAATCCTAAAAGGGAATTTCAGGCTATTTGTGACTCCCTGCCTCCCCACCCCCCCCACCCAACATGATGTTTAGGAAGGAGAAAGCAAAGCCCTTGGATCAGAGTAATCTGTTTCTAACCCATTTCCATTCTCAGGGATTACCTCCGCAGGGGGAGGGAGACAGAAATAAATCTAACACCTTGTTTGGGAATTTGGGGAGGAAGCTCCAGGAGGGCCCTAGAGGCCTGTGAGCATGGGGTCCCAAGAATCTAGGACCCTCCTTCTCACATGCTGGAGTAYCCTGCAAAAAGGTCCACAGATTTGAAAAGCAATGTCTACACTAGTG